GATGGGGACAGGGAACAGGGATGGGGACAGGGACATGGGATGGGGACAGGGACAAGGATGGGGACAGGGATGGGAAAGGGATAGGGATGGGAATGGAGATGGGGACAAGGACAAGGACAGGGACAGGGAACAGGGATGGGGACAGGGACATGGGATGGGGACAGGGACAAGGATGGGGACAGGGATGGGAAAGGGATAGGGATGGGAATGGAGATGGGGACAGGGAACAGGGATGGGGATAGGGACAGGGATGGGGACAGGGAACAGGGATGGGGACAGGGAACAGGGATGGGGACTTGGGGAGGGCAGGGGGAGAGGGAGGGGGAGGGAGGGAGGAAGGTTTCTGGGTTGTTTTGTTCCCCTCCTCCGGGGTTGGGGGTTTTTTTTTTGTTTGTTTGTTTGTTTCGTTTTCCTCCTCCGGCAGCTGAAACAGGTTAATCTGTTTTTATTCGTATTTTGGGAAGGGGGGAAAAAGTGAAAGTGCCTAAGTGAACTCGAATCAAAAGCTAACACGTCAGATCAGACCAAGGGAAGAGAAAGGCAAGTGGGGAGGGAAAAAAAAAAAAAAAAAAGAAGAAGAAGAAGAAGAAGAAAAGAAATAAAATAAAGTGATCAATAAAAATCAGTTTTGTAATCAAACCCAGAAATGGCTCCGAACTGGGCTCCAGCCTCCTCCCTCCCAACTCTTGCTCTGCACATTACACGGAAGTGCACAAAGTAGCCCAAGACAGGAGAATTTTCCATATTCCTAAAACATGTCGACCAACTCAAAATGGACGCCTCATTTTTTTTTTTTTTTACGTTTTAACTACTGCTTATCTTTTTACTACTAGTACTAAAATCATTCTTTCCCCAAGACAAGACATCCGAGAATCCGACCTCATTTTGAAAACATGCATTTTCTTACTTTACGCTTAGGAAAACGGATGTTATATTCTCCGCTGTCGGTATTTTTCAGCTAACGCCGACACTTTTCGGATGTTTAGAAAGTGCATTGTAAAAACAAGAAGAAAAACCAAACACAACTGAATCGATCTGTTCCTTACTTGTTTCTCATTAAGAGCTGCTATTCTTGATTGCCTTTCATGGATTTGTTTCTTAAGATCCCCGTTCTGCAAAAACGGCAATAAGATGCATATTAAAGGCAAAGTGTAAACTAACCCCTGTAATGAATAAACTTGCGATCTAGAAATTGTTCAAAGGCAAAACCGTTCCACCAAAGCCGTACGAAAGCATGCACACACAAAACACCCTCCTTAGTAAGAAAGCTCCGTGCAGACTACAAAATGAGATCTCTTACTGATAAAGTTTCTCATCCTGCTGTCCCAGCACAACTGCGCTTATTACAGCAGGTATAAAATACTGAAGAAGAGGAAAAAAAAAGATCTGCATTTACCTGTGGATCTTGCTTCATCTGTGCAACTAGTTTCTATAAAAAAAAAAAAAAAATCACCCCCAAAAAAGGAGGAATTAGAAACTGTTTCAAGTTTAATGGATTTTTTTAAATGTATGTATGTGTGTGGACGGGGGAGGGAGGGGGGTAAGGAACAAAGAGGCAAGTAAACACTGCGAGTCAGTTTCAAGCAAAGCTCATAAATATTCAAGTCTCGTCCTAATCTCTCCAACACACACACACACTCGCACACACTCACTCACACTCACGCACATGCACACTCACACACACACAAGCACCGACCGCAACCTTAACTCCGCATCTCCACACCGCACACACCGACACCACACACACACACACACACACACACACACACAGGGGGGGGGA